ATATGTACCTCTGAGATGTAGTACAGTATAAAGTACTATATGTACCTCTGAGATGTAGTACAGTATAAAGTACTATATGTACCTGAGATGTAGTACAATATGTACCTCTGAGATGTAGTACAATATAAAGTACAATATGTACCTGAGATGTAGTACAGTATAAAGTACTATATGTACCTGAGATGTAGTACAGTATAAAGTACAATATGTACCTGAGATGTAGTACAATATGTACCTCTGAGATGTAGTACAATATAAAGTACAATATGTACCTCTGAGATGTAGTACTATAAAGTACAATATGTACCTCTGAGATGGAGTACAATATAAAGTACAATATGTACCTCTGAGATGTAGTACAATATAAAGTACAATATGTACCTCTGAGATGTAGTACAGCAGAAAGTACAATATGTACCTCTGAGATGTAGTACAGTATAAAGCACAATATGTACCTCTGAGATGTAGTACAGTATAAAGTACAATATGTACCTCTGAGATGTAGTACAGTATAAAGTACTATATGTACCTCTGAGATGTAGTACAGTATAAAGTACGATATGTACCTCTGAGATGTAGTACAGTAGAAAGTACTATATGTACCTCTGAGATGTGGAGGAGTAGAAGTATAAAGTAGCAGAAAATAGAAATACTCAAGTAAAGTACAAGTACATCAAAATGAAAGTGCAGTACTTGAGTAAATGTACTTTACTTTCGCGGACATTTGTGAGGTGTTTTATCTCAAAGAACATCTCAAAAGATGAATAAACGAAGATGTAAATATACACTAAGCCCATATTTAAGTTCATAATACTGTAACTTCTATACTGTCTTACTCTCCACTTCACCCCCCTCATATAGTGTGTCATTGTACTCCTCAGCAGTATCAGATACTCATGATGATGTGTCCTCACCTCTGTCCGTGGTAGGTGTTCCACAGCTGCTCCAGCTTGTGTTGACTTCCCTTCATGTAGTTCTTGGTCAGAGACTCCAGACGTTTTTTCTTGGCCTGCATCACCTTACTGATGTCAGCTGGAAGCAGAACAATAACTCTTAATATACTGACAGTACAATATGTGAGTATTGGTGTTTATATTCAGTTTACACAGGACTTTATATGAATAGGATGAGCTGTTGTTGGAAAAAGGACATAAATATTGATGTATAGCTACACAGAGAAAAGGTGAAATAATGAGTACAGTATATGAAATACAATTCAAATATACATAGTGGTGTGATTAGTAGCAGCTAAGTATGGTAACGCTACATGTAAAGCTATATGATACCATCAACTATAACAGTAGTATAATAGTACATAATATAGTGTAGGATATAAAGTATAAAATCATCAATACTGTGGTATAAAAGCTGGTCAAAGATGAAGTACGGTAAACAGGAGAACGACTTTAACGCTTCGAGCAGAGGAAAAACAAACACACCTGCACCAAGCTGCTTACCTCCGAATTTCTCCAACATGGAGTGAACCTCATTTCTGAAGGTGAGAAAAGAGAGAGAGACGTAGCTTTAAATGTTAGCTGCTGCACAGAGTATCACATAATATATATAACTGTACATTAAATCTAGCTAATAAATTAAGCTGTAATTAAAGAGTTTGAATACCCGACAGCACTCGTTGCCTCCTGTTCAAAGTCGGATGCTGGTCTCTTCTTGGCCGACTTTTCCCCCATCGGAGTTTCATCTGGGGAGAAAGAAAGGAATTATTAATGTTCGTTTAGTAGCTAGAAAGCTAATGCTAACTTTATTCAGATAAAGGTAGTAACACTACAGTGTAGAAATACTGAAATAATACTTTTTAAATAAAAAAATCATGCATTCAAAATGTAATTTTACAAGTTTTAGAATTCAATATACTTAAAATAAAGTACTCATTCTGCAGAATGATCCATTTCAGAATAAAATATATTACATAGGATTATAATTCAATTCAATTAATTTTTGTATTGCCCAAAACCTCAGAGGGCTTTACAATATGTACACATTTGACATCCTCTTGTCCCGGAACCCTCACATCGGAACAGGAAAAACTCCCCCAAAAACCCCTTTAACAGGAGAAAAGAGGGAGAGACCTGAGGGAGAGCAACAGAGCAGGGATCCCTCTCCCAGGATGGACAGAAGTGCAATAGATGTCATGTGTAGAACAGGATAACAGAGTTACAACACATTTAATGTATGACAATCACATAATCAGTGATGTTCAATAATTGTGAGCAATAATTCAACTTTGCATAAACAATGCATTGCATTTAGTTATATTGTACATTTAAACTAACATTCTAATGTATTTATAATATTATATATATATATATATATATTATATATGTATGTTACGTAATGTTAGCTAACAGTAGCTACCATTAGCTAGCGGTACACTTACCTTCTCTCACATCCTCCTCTGAGCCGCTCAGCTCTTTCTTTTCATCTTCTGTAATAAAATCAAAAACCTTTTTATCTAATTTTTCTTCCGGGTGTTTCTTCTTCATCTGTCTTCTCCCTGTTGCCATTCTTCTTCTAACCTGGTTTATTTAATGCTAACGTTACCTAAGCTAGCTCGAGCAGACTAAGCTACACAAATGGATTCTGCTGAAGTGCTGCTAATGGCGGCTAATGCTACCGAGCTAGCTCACTGTTAGCTTAGCGGTTGCTGCAAATGGATTCAAGCTACTTCTTGACTAAATGTCTTTGATAGACAGACAGAACGTTATTGTAGTTAACTATTTAAATAAAATGGACCTCGATACCCGATTCTAGTGTTCGTGTTACGTTCTAAATGAAGCTAGAATCAACTGGTTAAGACACAAACTAAAGGAAGCGAAGCTAACCGAGCTAGCCGAGTTTAAGATGGATTCCCGCCACAACCGGTCGGAGGAAAGAACCCGGATGAAAGGATCAACGTTTTTTTTTGTTTTTTTTTAAATCAGTGGTCCTTGAAGAAGTACTCAGATCCTTTACTGCAGTAAAAGTACTAATACCACACTGTAAAAATACTCTGCTAAAGGTAAAAGTGCTGCCTTGATACTGAAGTAAAAGTATTGATTAATACCACACAGTAAAATACTTCATTAAGTATTAATACCTAAGTAAAAGTACAATTCCAAAATACTCTATTTCAAGTATTGATAGTAAAAGTACTAATACCACACTGTAAAATACTTCATTAAGAATTGACACATAAGTAAAAGTACATTGACAAAATACTCAGTTTCGAGTATTGATAGTAAAAGTACTAATACCACACTGTAAAATACTTCATTAAGTATTGACACATAAGTAAAAGTACATTGACAAAATACTGTTTCGAGAATTGATAGTAAAAGTACTAAAACACACTATAAAAATATTGTTACAAGTAAAAGTAATGCTCTGACAATGTTACTTCAGTAAAAGTATATCAGTATAATCCGGTAAATGTAGTTGAAGTATCAAAAGGATCCTGTGTGGTAAATAAAGATGGTTGTACTTCATATTTTGTGGGTTTTCCTTTGAATGAATTTGTTCTTCCTGGAAACAGATTGATGAAGATATTTATAAGTCTCTTTAAAATACTTTAACCTCATTATAATAAAATCAATCTGTAAATAATAAATCATGATCTGATCAACATGTTAAATACTGACAAAGTTGGATTATACACTGCAATTCTTCTTCTGTCCTTTAATAATATTTGAACAGATAAAAACAGTATAAAGAAGTTTGATTATTGATCAGTAAATATAGATTGAAGAGGTTTAAACTGTGATTAGATCAGCTGATGTTCCAACAGTAACTAACCTTCTGTTTATATGTGAAGTCTGAAGAGCTTTGATAAAGTTAATTCCAGCTTGTTCTACACTGCTTTTATTGTGAAACTCTTAAACACTGAAACAGGAAGCTGTTCCTGTTTAAATCTAAGCTTGCTGTTTCTTTGCCGATTTCTTCTCTTCTGATTCATCTTTGTCTCTTTTAACAGAGTTTATTTCTCCGTCTACTAAACTAAATAACATCTATTAGTGAAGAGACTTTCTACAAAATGAAAGCATCACAGACATTCAGACGTATAGATGTTTGACTGACACAGAAAGCAGATTATTATAATTATAAGAAGTAACCCAGGATTAAAACCCGTGCTCCTCTATAATATAAAATGTTAAACCAGTAACAATATGTTTAAGACTTCTTAAATCATACTCATGTATTACCCGTTGCCATTTTACAATTTACTAGCAATAAAAAAAGACTTTTAACAGGATATAAAACCATCAGCACAGACTCGGGTACAAAATAAAACATAACAGCTGGAGAGAAAAACAAACATTTAACTTCACATTTTACTCGTTTTGAATTCCGTTCTTCCTTCCATCCGTTCTCTTTACAGGTGTTTTCCCCACGATGCTGCAGAAGAAGAAGAGACTTCCTGTTTCAGTCAGATATCAAACTTCTCTTCACAGATGAAATGTCCGTTCTCTTCGTAGTCGTCTCGGGTCACGATGATCTCGTCGTAGTCCGGACTGTGAGCCAGCAGCTTCCCTCCTTCCCACGAGTAACTGATCGGACTAAAGGACAGACACATGTTCAAATGAACACATTAATGACACGATATGATCGTCATTTCATCTTTATCATGTGTTTCTTTGGCTCTTTTACTCTTTTCTGTGAAGTACTTTGAGTTTCCTTGTTGCTGAAATGTGCTAAATAAATAAATCAGCTTTATAATATTTACATTATAGATAGATAGATAGATATGTACTTTATTCATCCCCAGGGGGGAATGTGTATGTTACAGCAGCAAGACACACCAAGAAGCAACGTAACAGAGTAACCACAAATATTAAGTATTAAAAAATGCACAATATATACAATAGAATAACAGAGTAGGACATATTAAATATCAGAATATAGAATATGGAAGATAAAACAACAAAAATGCACAGTATATACAATGAAATAGAATAGTGCAAACATCAACCCCAGCAAACAGCAGTGTAGCGGTGTGTAGTTATGTGGAGGATGATCTGTTCAGAGGTGATTTATTATAAAGTCTTATAGACTTTAGTCTCTTATAGAGAGCAGGAATGTTCTCCTGTATCGGTCCTGTGACAGCGGAGCTGGATCAGTCTGTCCCTGCAGGAGGTGGTGGAGAGGGTGGTCCGGGTTATCCAGTATGGATAATAGTTTCTTCAGTGTCCTCCTCTCCACCACCTCTTTCAATTTCATTTACTTTGTGGCTTCTCATAAAACTCATAAATCTTTATTTCCTTTAAATGAATCCTCCACAGATTCATCATCACACTCTTTTAACGTCAACAGACTCTAAAGGATCTAAATGGAAACATGCATTCTTCTTCCCAGTGCCTACATTACCCACAATGCACATCTCTGTTACGTGTGGTAGATTGGTGTGTGTTATGCTGGTTAAGTAGCAGAGAGTGTCCTGCAGCAGAGACGAGTCCCGTCACATTATTATTTTCCTTTTTTAACTCACTTGTCCGGCTGCAGGACGGACACAGGGAGGTGGGCGGGGGCTAGAGATCGAAGCTCCGCCTCCAGCCGCTCTCTGAAGCCAGAGAACAAAGTGTTTCCTCCAGTCAGGACCACGTTCTGGTAGAAGTGAGCCTGCATCTCTGGAGGAGGAACCACACACACATATTACAGACATGAGACATATTTACTGAATATAATACCTACATGTGGACACACAGGGACGAGTTTCACTCAGAGTAAAACACATTTTCTGGACATGCGCCACTAAAATAATTAAAGATCCAGATCTTAATAGAGACCAGAGTCTCTGCTGGACTCTCAGGACCATGAGGTCCAGTACTCAGAGACCTTCAGGCAGAGACTGGATGGAGTCCACAATGGCCTCTGGGATCCCCGTCTCCTGGAGGCCGATGTCCGACGGGTGGAAGAGCATCTCTGGGACGGCAAAGCGCTCGTTGGCGAGTCTCAGGATCTGCTCCCCGGTCTTGTACTTCCCACTGAAGACCATCTCGTCTGGAGGCTGGGGGACAGGAAAGAGGGACGGACCGCTGAGAGGAAGCTCATCTATCTGAGACGAAAGCTCAGGAAATATCTTTATAAAAGGTGTTTTCTTACCTTACAGAATCCTTTCTTGATGGAGCTGAAGTCTGGTAGAACGTAGTCCCTCACCACAGTGTTCTCCTCGCCCTTCATCCTGAACACACACACACGAACACGAACGCACACACGCACGCACGCGAACACGCACGCACACACGTTACCCAGAAGGCTTTGCAGAGTTCAAAGTTCCTGTATGTACCTGTTTGTTTAAATAAAGTTAAGTCAAAACCACACTTTTGACCTTTAAAGCTTTTTGACGCAAATTAGTGATTTTTTGTATTCGTTCATTCAACCGTTACAGATGAAATATATGACGACAGAGACCTCGTTTACAATGAAGAATAGAAAAAAAGCATTTAAAAAATAAGAAAAAGCTTAAATAATTAAAAGCTAAATTGGTAAAAATAATAAATCTTAACAATAAAAAAAGTAAATATGAATCATAAACAATCTCAGTAAAATTCTGCAAGATAATTGTTCATTAAAATGTACTTAAAAAATACAATGTAAACAGTTTGCGTCTGAAGATGACCTTTAAATAGTTACCTTTAGATAATGCCTCATCTGCATATGAAATGAACATAAAACATTTCAGTAATATGATCCACTACTGATCCACTACTGATCCACTACTGATCCTCTACTGATCCTCGACTGATCCACGACTGATCCTCTACTGATCCACTACTGATCCACTACTGATCCTCTACT